AAGGCTGCTCCCCGGGTCACTCCCGCACTCCCTCACCCCAAATGGTTCTTCCCCTCCCTAGGGATTTCAAACCCCACCACCATCTGCAGACCCCATGTACACCTCCCATCCCCACTATGCAGAGGTGGCCAGGTTATCCAGGCCCATCACCCTTGCTGCGAGCCAGCTCCCCCGCTTTTCTGTGGTTGCGAGATCACTGTGCTGTCCCTGCCCAGTCCTCTCCTGACTTGCACCTCTTGCAGACGGTGCTGCTCATGGCCACCACATCCTGCAGGCCCTGAGCCTGCAAGGCACAGTCCTCCCTGCCCCTGAAGCTCTGCTATGGCTCAGTGAGTCTGCAGCAGAGTGCCCAGGGGTCAGGGAGTTCCGGGCAGGTGGGGATCCTGGGCTGGCTGGGGGTAGTCCCTCAGTTTCTGTCCTCCAGCTCTGCCATCCATGGCTCCCCATAGCGCGCTCCCACCTCCTGTGTGCCAGGCAGCAGTCCACCCTCTCTGCCAGGACACCATGGTGGATTCCTACAGGGGCAGGGGTGGTTGCTTGGCAGCCCTGGGGTCACCAGCAGAAATACTGCAGGAGGCATGGGGCACCTTCCCTTACTGACACAGGGACCTGCCCTGCGCTGGGGGTGGACAGTGCAGGCTTTCTCAAGGGGTGTTGGTCTCACTAGAAGGGTCCCCATGGCAGGAGTCACCTGTGTGTGCCAGGCCAGGTGCCAGAATGTTCCATGCCAGCACAGGTGGCAGACCCTGGGTCCCAACTACGTTGGCGAGCTGCCGCACCCATTCCTGAGCTTCAAGAACTCAGAGATACAGACCCTCAGTGACTTTCAGTCCCATGTGGTGGTCGAAAACCTGAGCCAGTGAGTGAGACAGAGCCTCAGCCACACGTGGCTGGTCCCCTTGTGGCAGGATTCACCCCACACTGGGGTGGGCAAGGGGGCGTTGGGCCTTGGCCGTGTGGAGTCCAACACCATGTTGGGATGGCTGTCAGCAAGTGGCCTCTGTGCAGGGGTTCCCAGGTCAGTCTAGGCAGTTCTCTGATCTGGCTGGGTGCTGGGGGGCACCTGACCCTGGAGCAGCAGCCAGGCCACTCAACGCTCTGAGCAAGCCCAGAACCCCAGTGGGGCTGGGGAGCAAACCCTCCAGGCTCTTGGAGGCCGACCTGCACTCACGGCGCATCCCGTGGTCAATGGCAGGTGGGTCTTTGGGACCTGTGGGGAAGTCCTGAGTTCCAGTGAAGCCCTGGGGCTGGGCAGAATATTAAACGTGCTGTCTTAATCTTTCCCAGGTCCTTGGGCAAAAATGCTTGACCTTTACCAGCTCAAAGTAAGTGTGCCCCTGTGGAAGGGACTCTTCTAGAATGAGGGTCTTGTTGCAGTGTTGCCCACAGCAGGTGGCACAGGGTGGGGGGCTGGCCCACTCTCAGCAGCGTGAGGGGCATGACTCACAGTCCTTCCACCTCCGTCACAGGCCTTGGAAAGGCCACACTTGAGACTGCAAACCACCTCCAGCTGAGCAACTGCATATCTATTCTAGAAAATCTGCAACTTTCAGTGGATGCTCTTGAGAGTAGGTTTGGCTTAACCTGCTGCAGGGGTTGGTTTGTCTGTTGCTTCCCCTTAAAGGTTAAAGGTCTACAGGCCGTGAGCAGAGCGTGCTCAGGCAGAGCTGGGGTTTCCACAGAGTAAGGACTGGGGGTTGGCAGGGAGGCAGCTGCTTCTCGTTGGACACTGACCTCCAGCTCCACTCGGGCCTGGGCTATCTGAGGTGCCCTTGTGGGACCGCCATGGCTGAGGCTCCTGGGTGCTACTGCCCAGGGTGGGTTCTGTCATCCATTTCGCCTTGCGTGGGGTGGGACAGAGCTGCGGCTCTGCACAGCTCTCATGAGCAGAAAGGCCTGAGTTCTCAGAAGAGGGGCCTTCCTCCAAGCAGGAATCCCCAGGCGATCGCAGGTGCCCACCCACCACAGAGTTGTTCAGAATAAACCGAGTTTCCAAAGTCGTGCTGCTGCTCACAGAGCTGCTGCCCGTGGTTATACACGAGGCAAGTGAGGTGTGGACAGGAGCCGCCCACCTGTGTTTCCTTGAATTCTGTTCTGTTTTTTGCACTTGTAAGTATAAGAGCTTAAATTATTTTTGTTGAGAAGTACTTTCAAAACTTTCAAAGATTATATAAAAGCCGTCTAGTTTTCTTACGAGCTCTGTTTAATTGGGTGAAGCAGAAGTTCTCTTCCGTATTCTCCCCAGGCCCGTTTGCCTCTGCGGTTTTGTTTGCGGGAACAGGAACAGAATCAGTGTACCCCGCCCCTCCCAGCTGCCGGGGCCTGTGTCCGTGGGCCCAGAGAGGCCAGTTGGAGCTGGTGTCCCAGGGTTTAACAGAGCAGGGCTGTTCGGGATTTACTCTCCTTCCTCCTGATGCAGGGGGCCAGAGCATCCCGCACCATATCAGGGCTGAGCTCTAAGGTCAGCGCATAGGGACTCTTGCAGGCTCAGCTGGGCGTGGACAAGTCGCAATGCCCCCACACACCTGCTCCCTCCCCAGGCCAGACCCAGCCCACCCAGGCTTGCACCAGGAGCTGTTTTCTAGGCCAGCAGCAGGAGCTGCATGTTCTCGCCCAGCAGCCCAATTAGTGGCCTCATTTCAGGGAGGAGACCCCAGTCCCCGGGGACCCACTGCCTGGCATCCGCAAAACAGCAGCCAGACAGCAGGAGGAAAAGTAGCTGTGACCTAGAGCCCCCATAGGGCACAGTTCACCCGCCGGGGCCCTCTGGGGCTGACTCCAGCGGAGCGGGCCGAGCCTAGGAAAGTGAGAAACAAGGGGTCCCCTGTCCTACCAAGAATGGGGCCTCATGGGCTCACCTGAGCAGGTGTGCGTCACGAAGACCCACTTCTGAACCACGAGGGTCCACGTGGCAATGGGTGTGACCAGTGCCTCCGCCAGAGACTGGGCATGCCACAGAAGTGGAGCCCGAGGTGGGATCCCGAGCCCACCACACAACCATGAATCCAGGCCCTGGAGCAGACACAATCTCTCTGGCCCCACAACATCCCCTTCCCGTCTTCCATGCCCCCATCCCCACTGCACAGCCCCTATGGCAGGCGACACGTGTCCCCCATCCCATCTCAGTGCTCCTGGTGTCCAACACATCCCATCTGTGTCCCGTCTTCTTGGGGACACTGGCAGGGTTGGACAGAACTTGAGCAACCTCAGGTGACTTTTGAGGGTCCCATAAATTGCCCAAGCCCAGAAACTGGGAGGCTTAGCGATCCCATCTGGAAATCTGTGAGCCCTCCAAGCCGCACACTGCCATCCTGGTGACAAGGGCTGGCCTGGAGTCCTCAGGCAGGACCCCTCCATCCTGCCCAAGTTCTGGGGCCTCTGGGGTGGCACCAGTCCCCCATGACCATCCTGCTCTCTGATGTCCCCCAGCCCCCAAGAACCCCAGCAACCTGCTATGATGAAGCCCCACCCCCGCCAGCACAAATGTCAGGTATGTGCCATCAGGGGGCACATGATGGGCCCAGGGTCCCCCCCACACCCACTGGGAGGAGGGCCATCTGTCCTGAGAAGACCTAGCACATTTGGCTTTAAAGTTCCCCACCCCACCCCCAAATCCAAATCCATAATAAAAATAATCCCTGATATGCCCCAGTTCCAGAATCACCTTCTGGTCTAGCTATGCGCTGGAGCGCATCTGGGGCCCAGGAGGTACAGGTGACCCCATTTACTGAATCACAACAGGGATACCTGGGAGCCCAAGGGGACAGGACACCATCCTCTCTGCTGACCACCCCTGCAGGGTTCTGGGCAGTGGGAACCCCAAGAGTCCTGCCATCCAGGTGGGGGCACAGGCCCCAGCCAAGCAGAGGTCTCCAGGGCAGGCATCCCAGGGGTGGCCCAACTGCCGCAGGGGTGGAGTGTAGGGAGATTGGTCCTGCACCCTCTGAGGCTGCTGTTGCTGCCTGGGGGCCCCTGCCAGGATGCAACTTGTGCATGCGTCATCCAACGGTCCGCGGGGTGCAGCTCCCTGAGAGCCCACAGTTGCAGCTAAGGCAGAGTGGGAGGAGACGTACGGAAACTGAGGAAAAGTGGGATGGTCTCAGTCCCTGCAAAGCCTGCCCTGCAGGGATCTTTGACTTTGGGCAGAGCTATGAGGAGCAAGGCAGGGGGATGACAGGCATGGAGTCCCACAGAGCCTGTGGCCAGGGAAGGAATCCCCTCCCCAGAGTCCTGAAGGCCACCAGTCTCAGCTCCAGCACTAAAGCCAAGCACTCACCCCCAATCAGTGTGTTCTGCAGCACCGACTGGTGGGTGTGGTGTGGGGGCCTCAGAGCACCCTCTGGGTCTGCACAGAACCAGTCCAGCTGTTCCCAGCTCAGGCAGACTGAAGAGCAGCCAGCACCCCCATGCCCTCAGAGTGGCCGCCCCATGTGCCAGCCACTGGAGTAGAAATGGGGGTGGGAGCCAAAGCAGGCAGCACTTCACAGAAGCCCAGGGCCCCTGGCAGGAGGAGGCTCACTTCCTGAGGACCACCTCAGGGCAAGCTTGTCACCCACACCCCATGGGCTGGCAGAGGCCCCATGGGGAAAAGCGCCTGGCCCATCCCCACCCCTCCCCCTTGGCCCGGGGCATGGGAAGGCAGAGAAGGCCCTGACCAGCAAGGCCTTCTGGACTGGGGTACAATTTAACCAGCTAAAAGGTCCTTGGCACCAGCGCCACAACCCAGCCCAGGAACCCACCCACCGAGGTTGGAGGAAACCTGGCAAGCCAGCACCACAGCTGAACCCATGTGGAAACTGGATCACGTCCACACTGCCCCCAGCTGCATGTCCCACTCAGTGGGCAAGACCTAGAGAGGCTGGCAGTGCCTGGCAAGGCAGGGTCCTTAGGGTCAGCCCAGCCCTGGAGGAGGGTGGGGGCGGTGCCAGAGCCCCAGGTGGCAGCAGTGGGCGGGGCGCGTGCCAGGGCTCGGCCAGCCCGGACTCACTGCACATCACTCGGCCCTCGCTGTCACTCGCTGTCACCGCCCAAGGTAAGCCCAACGAACAGCCCCCCCCCCGTGCACTAAGGAGGAAACCGAGGCCCGAGGCCGGAGGCTCTGGCATCTCTCCAGGAAGTCCCCACCTGGCTGATGCGAAACTCCTGGGGTGGAGAGCAACTGTCCTGCGTGTCCCCAGGGACGGGGGCGGCCGGCAGAGATCGACCCCCCAACCCCGTGCCGCGGGCGGGGCGGCTGCGTCCTGCGCCGTGCGCACCACCTGCAGTTCTTGCCTAGCGCGCCGCGGCCGGTGTCATTCACGGGGCGCGGGGCGGGGGACGCGGGGAGCCGGGCGGGAGACGCGGGGCGCGGGCGAGCTTGGCGGCGGCTGCGCGCAGGTAGACCCAGCCAGCCGGTGCGAGACTGGGCTGCGGGCAGAGTGGCCAATGCCCTCCGCCCGTGAGCCCCCAGCGCGGAGGCCCGGCGCTGGTTCCGCACCCTCCTGGCTGTCCACGGGCCGGGAAGAGCCCGTGCAGGGAGGTGCGGTGCTAGAACTTGGGGAGTCCCGGGAGGGGACCCCCCGCATACCCCTCACCGTTTCCCCAGACCAGCCTGCTCCCCCAGCTCTCACCCCTGCTCCTGGCTGACCTTCCCACCACCCTCCTGGTCTGGCCATTGTCACCAACCGTGGCTCGCATCACTAGCCGGCCCTGGACTACTCCCTGGGGCAGTAGCAGCTGCAGCCCCCCATGGAGACTGCCCAGAAGCCCCCTTTAAGAGCCTGAGGAAGGCTCCCTCAAACTCGGTGCCAGCCTCTGCAGCCCAAGCTCCACAAAGCCAGTCCTGTCTCCCAACTTCCAGGATGGGGGCAGGAGTTGGTAATGAGGGATTCCCTGGGCCCCTGGAGTGGGCTGGGGGTGGGAGAAGCAGGGTACGACCCACCCCTGCTAGCCCCAACTAGTGGGTCTCCTGAGAGGTCCCAGTCTGTGGGTTTGACCAACTGGTTCACAAGCAGAAATCAAGCTGAGAGACACTGAGCAGTGGGAGGCCACCCACAACCCCCATTCTGGACTTGCCACATAGCCCGAGTCCCCAAGACCCTGAGCGCACACACGTGCACATACACATGCACGCACACCCCACCAGAGATGCAAATTGCAGCCAAATCCTCCTGGCCCCAAATTAGCTCGCCTCATAGTGGGCTTTGCCCATGCAAAGCAAAGGGAGGGAGGCCACAGGAGGGGCCAGCAGGGACCAGCCTCCCGAGGTCCTGTCCCAGCCCTCGTGGGATGGTCTGGGTTAGATCCCCTGCAAACGGGAGCTGGAAGTGGGCCTCACAGCTGGGGTGGGGGGACCGGTGTGGGCTCTTGGGAGCCCACCTATGCTGTGCACCCCATTCCACTGTTTCCTGGGGCAAGGGGTTCAGTGACCCATTGGCCTCCAATCCAGGGAGGCTGGGCTGTGGGAAGGCTGGGGCTGAGGGGTGCAGAAATAAGAATGGAAAGTTTCCTCTACAGTTAATCAGCCCCACTGGGGGAAGAGGGAGGCGTAAGGCTCGCTAGCGGGCCCTTGTGGGACTGCCTCCTGCCGTCGCCGAGGCCGGGGTGGTATGGCCCAGGGGACTTCTCCAGGCAGTGGGTGGGACGGACTCCATCCCACTGTCCTGCGGGCTCAGGTCAATGGGGAAGGAACAGCCGGGGGGCAGTGACTGCTGGATTTCTCACGCCCTCCAGCCCCACGCTGGCCACTTCTGAAGCCCCTGACGCCATGGAGGAGTGGGACGTGCCCCAGATGAAGAAGGAGGTGGAGAGCCTCCGGTACCAGCTGGCCTTCAAGAGGGAGCTGTCCTCAAAGACCATCCCCGAGTAAGTCCCCCCATGGCACCATTTGCACCTCGTTTGCATGAGCCAAGGCCACTCCTTTGGGACAGGCAGGTGCCACCAGGCTGCCTCCTGGGGGCCCAGTGCCCACTGCTCACCCCATCCGCAGGCTCCTCAAATGGATCGAGGACAGTACCCCCAAGGACCCCTTCCTGAGCCCCGACCTGATGAAGAACAACCCATGGGTGGAGAAGGCCAAGTGCACCATCTTGTGAGCCCCGCCCCACACGCGCGACTCTGTCAAGACCAGCTCTGTAAAGTGCAGCTTTATAAAGACTTCTGAGTGCTCTGGGCTCCAGCATGGGTTGCAGCATCACAGGGTTGTCATGGGCTACAGCAGGTCGCGAATGTGCAGGCTGCGCCGCACTGCGTTGGATGCGCCCTCATGGAAGCGGAACCAGACCTCGCTTTTGCCCACCGCCAGGCCCATGCGTCGCTCGGCAGAGTCCTCCGGGCCCACGTCCTCTGCAAAGCCACACAGTGGTTACTCCTGGGCCCGGCCCTGCCCCTGGCCCCCCACCGCCCCCCACACACACCTGCACTCTGGGCTGCAGCTCTCCTGATGACCACACGTCCAAAGAAGTCCTTCTCGGGCTGATGGGCAGGAGTGGCCAGTCAGGCTCATGGGACAGACCCCATGCGGCCCCTGCGGCCACAGACTGGAGGACTGGGGGCCTTTCCCAGCCCTACCAGGGTAGGGGTAGAAGAGGCAGCAGAGCCACCCTCCTACCCAGATAGGAAACTAGGGCCACGTGGAACCACGTCATGCTGAGCTTCAGGGAGCTGGACCTCAGGGCTGAGCCAGCCCTCCCCCCACACATACCCGGCCACACCCACAAAGCCCCCTGGTTCCCCCTCACCCCACCCCAACCCCACCCAGCACCGCCCATGCACCTGCTCCTCCGGGGCCCTCTTCCTCATGATGTGTTCCAGTCGCTGCTGATGGTTGCGCAGCTCAGGTCTTGACACCCCTTTCTCCCCAGGGCCCCCCAGTGAACCCTCTGGCCCCAGGGGACCCCTCTCCACCTGAAAGAAGTGTGATATAATGAGGACTGGCTAGGTAGGGCCATACCAAGGATGATGTGCACTCCCTAGGCCCCGCCCACCCAGGCCCCACCCAGGCCCCACCCTGCCCCAGGGCTCACCTGTGGGCTGTCCCTAACCCGGACCAAAGCTTCTGCCCGCCTCATCTTCTCCACCTCGATCTCCCTAGCGATGAGTTGCTTGGCCTGGTAGGTGAGGGGCTTGCGGGCAGGCAGGTTGGGGAAGCGGCAGACCTCCTCCACGTCCCTGCTCAGGCATGAAGGCAGGACACCAGACACCCAGTCAGCAGAGCCAGGGCCAGAGACCTGCCTGGCGCACCCACCCCAAACACCACAACTCAACAGCTGGAGTGTGTGGTTCAGTCCTGATGCTGCCGCACCCCAGCCCTGTGGAAGCTGGAGGTTAACTGTTCTGAGCCTCAGTTTCCCCAACCGTAAGCAAGGACCACAGCAGAACCCAGGCTGCCAGGAAGGAAATAAGATGACGAGGCAGGGCCTCAGTGTCTGGACACAAGACCCCTTGCTGGGGCAGCAGGATCCCTGGGGCCATCACTCCTGTGTGTCACCCCACTCCCATGACCATCTTGGGGATGAGCCCTGGGGCACCATACCCAGTCATTCACAGGGCTGCCGGCTGGTATGTGTGTGTGGGAGGTGGTTCTGGGGCCCACTCCTGGGAAACACTGAGGCTGGGAGAGGCTCTGCTGGAAAGGTCAGGTCCCGAGGCTGTGCCTGATCTGGGGAGCTGAGGTGACACCCCACATCACAGTGACACCTGGGCGAGAGCTAATCTGGAACTCACCACCCCAGACACCTTGACAAGACCACGCTTTTAGTCTCCTGACCAATATGGGCATCTGCGCCCAGAGTGCAGCCCCCAGTCCCCTCACCAGGCACTGGGGACTCACGGTTCCAGCCTGTAGACGTACTGCCCATCAGGCATGCGCTCCTGGTGGTAGGTGAGGCTGTAGGCCAGCATGGTGCCCACGAGGCTGGCCAGCTGCTGCTTCTCACGGGCGCTGTACAGCTGTGTGCTCACCTGGGGGCAGGTGTGCAGCAGGTGGGAGGCTGAGCAAGGCCAGGCCCCGCCCCTGGGAACCCTACTCCCTCCACCAGGCATGGTCCCTCACAGGACGCAGCTTGGGCGCAAGAATGTCCAGGAGCAGGCAGAGAGTGTCCAGAATGAGGGCCTGGGGCGTGGCCCGGCTGCGGGTGGCCGGCGTGATGCCCGACACCAGTGTCTGGATCAGGTTCCTCGTCTGGCTCATCCTGTTCTGGGCCTAGGGCAGAGGTGAGCTGGGGCTGGTTCCCCAGGACTCCCAGGACCCACACACCCCCGACAATGGGCTGTAGGGGCACACCTCCTGCTGGCTGCTGGGGAAGGTGATCCGCGGCACGTGGCTGGAGGCGAAGAGCACATGGAAGGCAGCAGGCAGGAAGGGCCGGTAGCACCACAGCTGGAAGCTCTGGCCGCGGTGGGCTGCCTGCTCCAGCAGGTCATCAAAAGCCAGCCAGTCGAGGGCCTCACACACAGAGCCCAGGCTGGAATCCCGCAGCCGCAGCAGCAAGAAGTTGTCGAACAGGCCCTGCAGGCAGACGGCAGGCCCTGAGCCCTGCAGCCTCACACCCCCACTCCCTGCAAGTCCAGGGTCGGGAGCAGCTGTAGTTCCAGCGAGTGACCACAGGGCCTGGGGAAGGGGGGTGGCAGGAAGGGTCCACCCTGAGCAACTGCATGTGTTTGACAAAGACCCTAGGAAAGGGCGAGAGAACAGTCCACCCCACTGCCACCCAAAGCCCCAGCCCCTCTCTGGGATGGCCTGAAAGATGCTCACCCACCAGAATCCAGGGCATGGAGTGCCCCCCTGCTCACCCGGGAGTCCTACCCCCACCAGCCTCACACACCGCCCCTCCGCACTGCAGATCTCCAGAATGGCTGTGGATCTCCAGCCACTAATCCAAAGCTGCTTAGAGTTGAGAAGCAGCTTAGGCTGGATTTCCCGGGGCAGGGGACCTCTGCCACCTGCTCAGGCTGACACCTCACCCTGGCTGCTCTCCACCCCACATGCACCCTACGTCCAGAACCCAGCCCCTCCCAACTCCCAGGCCCGGCAGCCACGTGGCCACAGCACGGGCCTCCACCCGCTTCTTCCCATTCCCCTCCTTGCAGTCCACCATCCCTGGCTCTCTATCCCTGGTTCTCCATCCCTACTTGCAGCCACCTCTCAGAGGCTGCCTGATCCCCCACCTCCACCACCCCTCACTCCCAGCCCCTGCTTTTTTCTCCCACATTTGGGCACCATCTGAAGTGTTTCCCACCCACCGCCCACTCCCCTCGGCACCAGACGGCCAGCCCAGACAGGTACCTGGACCACCTTCTCATGCTCGCCTGCAGAGGTGGCGACGTGCAGGATGTGGAGGAACCGCTGCGAAGCCAGAGTCAGGGAGCCCGTGTCCTCGTGGCTGCGCAGGAGCGAAGGGACAGGCAGGGTCAGGTCCTGACCTACGCGTCGCCTGTGAAGAGGACTGAGGTGGGGCAAAGCCCGTCTCAAAGCAGAGGAAGTCCCCACCCATCTCCCAGACATGCTCAGAAGCCCCCAGCCCAGCCGCCACCCGCTCTGTTTTTCTCCCTGAGACAGCCTGGCATTTGTGCGTTTACAGTGCTTTCTCTCACCTGGGACACCTCAGCTACCCAGAAAACTCCCTTTAAGTGGACCTCCATACCCTGGGAGGAGGATTTGTCCTGGACAGACCTCCACATGGCAAGGAGCACCCTGGTGCCTCTCCTCTATCCTCGCAGGCACCAACTGGGCCGGCTTCCCCACTGGCCCAGAGACGGGGTCAGTGCAGAGAATGCTGACTGCTCCCTGCCCACCTGGGCTGCAGGTCCTGCTCAGGGCACAGGTGCTCTGAGATCACAGCCCAGGTGGGGTGGGGCCAGGTGGAGCTGCACCCTGGAGGCCCAGCACATCAGGGCATCCTCTCCACTAGGGTGCCCAGATGGCTTCCTGCCCCCGGCCCTGAGCCACGTGGGGAAGGGAGAACTAGACAGAGCCTGGAGGCCAGGCTAGATGGCCCCAGGGCTCATGGGCACCAGTCTCTGTCCGGGAAGGTGGTGTGTACTCAGGGTCCGGAGCCCCAGGCCGAGGCTGCCCTGCCGCATGCAAGGCCTGCCCACACCTACCTCTGGGCCAGGGGCAGCTGGAAGACCTCCTGCCACACCGAGAAGAGCCCCTTGCGCTGGTCCTTGAGGCCGACGGGTGTGGTCTGCATGGCCCGCACGCTCAGCTCCCGCTGGCCCCGCCCATGCAGGAACTGGACATGGGGCGTGGAAGGGTGTTCAGAGGCAGCCGACCCACATCCGATCCTGCCCCGCCCCCACCCAGGCGCTGCCCACCTGCAGCGTGTTGATGCAGGCGCGGATGTCGCTGTCCGTCTTCTCGCAGAGAGTGGCTAGCGCTCCTGGGTCAGCCAGCATGCCCTGCCACAGGCAGATCTACAGAGGAGGACACGGGGTGCTGGGCGCCCCTTCGCTGCTCTGAGGGGTGCCAGGCCAGCACAGACTCTCCCTTGGAGCCCACCCTGTGGCCACAGCCCTTTTCCCTAGAAACATAAACAGCAGCCCCCACCCCACAGGTGGCTAAAGGCTGCAGGTCCCTCTGGACTGGACTTGGTCCCTGCTTGGGACCAGCCACCACCAGAGGCCAGGTCACCATCACCACCTCATCCTGGGGCCAGCTAAGAGGGACAGTTGGGGAACAAGGTCCAGAAAGGCCACACCCCCACCCCACAGTGCCCCTACGGACCTCCTGGAGCCGCTGCACCAGCCTCGAGGGCAGAGTCGGTGGGACGTGAAGCAGGAAGGCCTGCTGCTTCAGCTGCCGCAGGGATGGTGCAAACCTGCAGGAAGGGACGGCGCTGCCCACACCACGGCACGGCAGGCACGGGGTCTAGGCCAGGACCCTCACCAGGCACCCAGGGCCCTCTCCCACCCAGTGGAGCCTGGCCCCACCCCACTCACTGGTCGTTGCAGATGCAGATAATGGGCCTCATCAGGAGTCCCCCCTCTGCACGGCGCCTCCGGCCCCCACCCAAAGGCATGTCTGTCACCCCTGGCTCCACCTCCCACGGGCCCTTGCGGTTCAGGATGCTCAAGAGAACGTTGATGGCAGCCTTCAGGGAAGAGCAGAGGGGGTGTTGAGTCCAGGCCCCCAATGCCCGCCCCCACCCTTTCTCCAGGAATACCA